ATCTGTCTAAAGATACCCAGCTCCTCCTTCCTCTGGTTAGGAAACACTGGACATAGTAGCATGACTTGATAGTGCTGACTCCACAGCATCACCTCTTCTACTTTCTAATGGAGAATATTTGGGCCTAAATTCTTCAGATTGCTGGAATTTACACAAAGCATTGAAGCAGTCCTGCACTGAGGAAAAACCCAGAAAGCCTCACAGCATCTTTACAACCTCCCCTCCTGAGGAGCACTGGGGACTCTTTAGACATAGCTCTTATTTTGCTTACCTACCTTCTTATATTGATTTATATTTGTATTATATCTGTATTATTAGTAAGACAATTTTTAACAATGGGCTGGATTGTACCCTGAAAACCTGGCAGCATGCTATGTTTGGTGTTCATTACTCTGAGTGTGAATGGCCATCAGACATTGGGGAAAAAGCACATAACATTCCTTAAAACCGAGATGTAAGATAGCTTCTGATTCTACTTCAGTCTTCTAGGGCAAACTTTCACCATTCCCTCCCTGTCAGCCCCTGGAGGGAATTCTCTATGTTAAGTAGGCTTTAGGTCTAGGGACAGGCATTACACATAAACTGGTTTAAGTCATCAGAAACTGGTTTAAACCTGTAACAGAACAGATGTTCAGTGCACATAAATCAATTTCAAAATGGCTGAAACTAGTTTGAGATAAACCTGGTTGAATGTAGTAGCAGACTTAACTAATCTGGGTCAAACTGGTTTATGCAATGTCTGTCCCAGACCCCTTCCTGGTTTAACTTAAACCAGAGTCCCCCAGCATCTCAGATCCTTTGCAATCCTGGTCAGGGCTCTCTGCTCCACAGCAGGGCTGGCCCCGTCCCTCTGCTCCCTGGTTGGAGGATCTGCCTGGCTTCCTCCTGCTCCACCCCCTGTCACCAAGCAGGGATTCCTCCCTCCCATCTCCCACTGCACAGAGCCTAGCCAGCATGTGGTATGCTAGCTAATGCTGAGAGGTGTCTGTATAAGGCAGACAGGACAAAGGCAGATAGAACAGTGTCCACTTAAGGCTTTTTGGAGCTAATCAGCAGGTCAGCTGGTAACATCCCTCTGTTCTTTCCTTGGAAAAAGTTGTTTAAGAGGAGCTTTAACTAATGAGAGAGGCATTTGTTTTCTGATGGGGTGATAAATGCTCTGTTATCAACTGCCTGCTAGGCTGGTCAGGAGCACTGTTGGGGGGAAAGGGCAAGGGGGGAATCCCTCCCTAATCAGAGCATCCTGCCTGGGCCTGGCCACGCCCCCTCAACTCAGCACTGTGGAAGGGAAAGGGGGGCTGGTCTAGTGCCCCCTGGCTTCTAGCCTGAGCCACTGCAGGCATGGGCCTGCATTTCTTCAGTCCAGAGGGGATGTCTATACCTTTACAAACCAGTTCAGCCTAGCCAGGTTAGAGAAACCTGCAAAGATTAAATCAATTCAGGCTCAGGCTTTTTGAATGTCTGTCTCTAACCTAGGAGACCATCAGCAGCTGGGGAAGTCTGGTGCCATGACTGCACTGGGTGAGAAGATGTGGAGAAGGAAATGTGGTGGTGGTGTTTCAGTCAAGGAGGCATTTGCTTTCTCCAGGGGAAGAGGCAGTATTTGACTGAAGAGCCCTGTTGTTAGAGTGAAAGGGAAACATTAGACCTTCACAGTAGTTATCATTAGCAAGTTTGTATCCAAGTCCATGTCAGATTGATAAATCAAGCTTTTCAGAAAACAGGACCCATTTTAAAATACTAACTTCCTTTCCCTGCTCTATTTTTAATGCCATTCCAAGTCGTTCTCTGAATCTTGCATTTCTGTTTGTTATTATGTTATATACCACATAGAATTAGGGTTGGCTTCAGATCACCATAGTAAAGACTATGTTCTGTACCCTGGAAAATCAAGGAAATCAAGATAGAAAGAAGGAAGGACCTAAAACTGCTTCCCTGGGCTGCCCTCTGCCACCCACCCATCTCTTATGGCTCTCCAGACCTAAGGTGACACTTGGATTTTGTACAGTCATAGGAACTGAGCAACATAAGAACAGAGACTTTATCTGAATTGTTTTCCCAAGTGAATAGATGCTCTCATTGCACTGAAGTGGAATTGAAACAAATCATAAATATATCTTGGATCAGTTCCCAGTGATAGCAATTAATCAAACTGATATTCTATCAAAGAAGAAAGCAATTTATTGCCAAGATTAAAACAAATCCACCATGTAAAAAATAACATACAGATGAAAGAAAAGAAAAATATTATATTAAACTCATGGTTACTGTCATTTAAAAAATATAAACAGAAATAAAACCAGTGAAGGTAATATTTAGCAGATTTACATTTTTTTAAAGAAACAGCACAAGTATGATGAGAGTGAGCTGAAACCAGACATTTAAAACTCTTTCACTCTGTAGTACCAATGCTTTGCATAA